GAGCACTCTTAGGAAACTGCCCTTTATATGGGACCTTAGTGAGGAATTCCCCAAATCCAGTGAGGATGCAGGAGCGACAACTAAAGAAAATGCAGTGTCTAAATTCTGCTGAATAGAAACTGAAACCAATTGTGTTTCAGAAAACATCAGCTGTGGCCTTCTTGTAAAAGCCTTCTGCACTGCTTAAGGAGTAGATGACTAAGGCGTGGGACCTGCCTTAAGTAGCTGCTCTCTTCTCACAGCTCTGCACCTTGGAGATGGAGATCCTTTTGCTCAAGACTCTCTGCAACCAGAAAGCCAGAGTCTCTTGTGTGTGGGAGATGCCGTCTGGGGCAGGATGGATTAAATTCTTTGACGCAGCGATTAATTCCCTCTCAAGACCCGTGTGTCCTGCCAGCCGCAGAGGGCATGCGGGAGGCGCGCGTGGGGCGACGGCTGCGCGCGAGCCGAAGGAGCTGGCCCAGCGAGGGGCTGCTGGAGCCCGGCAGGGCCGCGCTGGGCCCTGGCTCTTGGCTGCTTCCCAGCTGGGAGAGCCCCGTGGGCCCTTGGCCCCGTGTCAGCCGGGCTGCTCCGGGCTGTCAGAGAAGCGACACAGGCTGACACGACTGCGCCAGGAGGACTGGCCCATCCTGCCTTCCTCTAGCTGGGACTGCTAGAAAGAAAGATGCATCTTTCTCTCCTGCTGTTTCAGGCTCTGGATCTAGCTTTCAAGTTGTCTGATCACATTGCGTGCTCGTGATACCTTTACAAGGAGCTTTTTCTTGAATTAGGATTTACAGATGTGATTTTCTGTCTGCTTGAAAAATACTTTGCTCACCAAAAAAAAGAAAAATCTTGTAGCACACAAGTGGCAGAAAGACACTTTAATCTCTTCTATGAAAATATCCCTTATTTAAGGGGTAGAAAGAGCATTTGTGGCCCTTCTGCACACAATGAATTCTCCTTTTGCAATCAATGCATTTTTTTCAGTAGTTTCACTGTGATTCAAATGCACATATCCTACTTTTGTTCCCTTATCGATGAATGAAGGTACAGATGTATTCAGCTTTTACAAAAGGTAGTGCTTTAGCTTCTAAACTTTTAAACAATAAACACTGTTAATAATAATATATCAAAATAACTCCAAAGCCAAGATTCCGTAAGGCGCTGCAAGGTGAAGGTTCACCTCTCTTTTGTGGTATATTTACAAACAAACAAAAATGAACAAAATTTATTTGCTTCAGGGTTAGGTGATTGTTTGAAGATTTCTTTTATGCATCATGCAGATGAAATCACCCATGTTATCACCAGGGTACTATTTCTTTTTAATTATCATTGGCAACTTCTTTGGACTAGAGCTTAATTTCATTTAACTGCTCCAGAAAAAAAATAATTGCAAATATAGTTTTTAAGGCTTCATTATTTCAGCTAAATTTATTTTCTTACATAACAACCTGCTGCTAGTGTTTTGGCAACTTTTTTGTTGCTTATAAAAGCTCAATTAACACTTCTTTTTCAGTTTGTTCTGTACTGCAATGGTAAAGCAAGATTTGATCTTCACTATTTTATTATGTGCAAGCATGTGTTCTCAATAAAATTACATTTTTGCCCATCCTCCAGAAACAGAGTGGGCAACCTTGTTGAGCTTGGGAATTGAAGCTGCAGTGCTTAAGACTTTTATCTCGACTTGAGTGAAGCTTTTGAAAGCGTCTCCTAGAACATCTTTGTAGACAAGCTGATGATGCAGCTGATAGACGGAGACAAGCGGCGGCAGAGGAGGAAGGGGCCGTGAAGCTGCTTTACAGAAACCTGGCTGAACTGCCCAGCCCAGAGGGTTGTGATCAGCAGCAGGAAGCCCAGCTGGAGGCCAGTCACTAGTGATGCCCCCCTGGTGTCGATGCTGGGGCCAATACCATTTAACCTCCTCTTTAATGGCCTGGATGATGGGACCAAAGGCTTGCTCAGCAAGTTGGCAGGTGATAAAAAAACTGGGAGGAGAGGCTGTTTCTCCAGCTGGTTGTGCTGCTACGTGGAGGAACCCCAACAGGCTGCAGAAATGGGCAGAGAGGAAACCCACAAAGCTGAACAAGGGGAAGCACCGAGTTGTGCCCCTGGGTAGAAGCAGGGGCAGCACCTATGCAGCACCATCGCACACTGGGAGATGACCATCTGGAAAGCAGCTCAGAGAAGGGCCAGAGGTGTCTGATGGACATCAAGCTGAACAAAAGCCAGAGATGTGCCCTTTGGTAAAAAAGGCCAACAGTCTCTTGGGCCTTGGGAAGAGCAGCGCAGGCAGGTTGAGGAGCTGGTCTCTCCATTCAGGTCAGCACTGCTAAGGCCACATCTGGAGTGCTGTGTCCATTGCTGGGCTCCCCGGTACAAAAGAAACACGGAATTACTGGAATGGGTCCAGAATGGGCCACAGAGACGATTAAGGCCTGAAGCATCTCTCATGAAGGAAGGCTGAGAGAGCTGGGAAGAGCCTGGAGAAGAGAAGGGGGATTTTATCAATGTCTCACAGGAGGGACTAAAGACAACCAAGTAGGAGTCTCCTCAACAATGCCAAATGGCAGGACTACAGACAACAGTCACAAACTGAAATACAGGAAACTCCATCTGAGCATAAGAAAACACTTCTTCCTCAGGAGGCTGTTGAGCACTCTCGCAGGTTGTTGTGGAGTTTCCATCCTTGGAGATGTTCAAGATTTGACTGGATGCAGTCCCGGACAACCTCCTGTAGTTGTCTCTCCTTGAGCAGGAAGGTTGGACCAGATCATCTCCAGAGGTCCCTGCCAACCCCACCTATTCTGTGCTTCTGAGAAGGCACTGAGTATTTGCACATCTCTATCTATATATCGATCAGAGGTGTTGTTTATAATACGCCTTATAAAATACACATTCTCCTCCTGTTCTAAATATTCCTTCTAACGGAAAATCTGTTGTCTCGTATAATCATGCGATGATTTCCTTGGTAATCCAGAACAACTTACTTATTCAAGACTCCAAATTCTCCCTGTTGCCTGTATATTACAGTAGTCAACGCTGATGTGACAGATTTTTTTTTTTTCTGATCTCAGGTGGTTTACAGTACATCTGTAGATGTGCACATGGGTGGATAAAAGTCCATAGATGCATCTTTCAGTGCTATATATCAATACAAAACAAATGTGGACTTTCCAATATATTCCAATATCAAGTCATGTTTAACCTTGAGCATGCTGCTCTTCCCTACCCTGCTCAGTTTCTTCCTGACTGTTAGCCATGCTTCAGGCACACCTGACACCTACTGATTTTTTTTCTCTGCTCTTGTCCTTCTTTGAGAGTTCCTGACAGAGGGGCTGATGCAAACTGCAATTCAGGCATCACTGTTATCAGCCAGAAACTGTATTCGTTCGCAAAAAACTGACATGTTCCCCGCTGACCCTGGCATTCAATGAATGGTGCAGATCTGAAGTCTTCTAGGCAACTTCCAGGTGACATAAGGGACTGTCCACCTCCCTGATCACCCGATCCAGTGTGCTGCAAAGAACAATGGAAAAAAACACCTTGATCACTGCATGTGAAAAACAGGTAAATGATGTTCATGTGCTTGGGGGTTTTGATTGCTTTGATGGTGCTACTTTGTTCACAGATTGGTGTAAGCTTTCTTAGCTGAAGAAAAATTTCAGTTATTCCTAAATAATTTCATCTCAATTTTTTTCTTTAATAATTTAATCTCAGTCTTAATCTTTATAAATTATATATATGAAAAAGTCTAGAAGCACCTTATTTTCCTTATACCCTTTTTTATCAAACTGAAGAAAAGAGTAATCCAGGTGCATATTAATGATGTTCTCTAAACTTGCTTCAGATCTGATTGGAGGACAGCATTAAAAAGAACTTTGAATTTCTCAAAATGCATCTTTGCCCACGTTATGGTGCCCATTCTTTATATACGTTACTGTAACTTGGATTTGATCCATTTTTGGTGTTGCTTTTACTCTGTAGGGTTTGCTACATGTTTGAGTTCACCTGTCAAAGCTCAAATGTGTGAACCTTTATATCACAAAAGCCATATGAAAGAAATTTCTCTGTGTATGCTCGTGTGCGCAGACTCTTACCATCAAAAAGGAATATCCTATCCAAAGACTTCTCCAGTTCAGTGGGCAGGGAGGAATTGACTGGTCTTGGCTGTGAACGGCCACAGCCTGCGCCGGCGCCTCGCACACGGCACATCTGCTTATGTAGGGCCGGATCTCCTCCTCGGAGAGCGGCATCGTTGGGAGAGGAGCAGCACTTGACAACCAGTAAGACTTATCATTTCGGCTGGCGTAATAACAAACTTGGTTGATGTTACAGTAAGCAAAAGGCATGGTATTAAATATAGGAAGACAAGATCCAGCTAGACCTGAAAATAGTAACAAATGTTGAAAATTACTCCATTTTTCCCAGGTAAGTTCAAAGCAGTATTTTGGCCAATGTTGTTCCAAAACTATATTACTTAAGAGATGCTGCATAATTCACAACTCCTAAATTTCCCTACCAAAATGAATAATAATATTGTAAGTAGAAACTTTTTTTTTAATAATCGATATCTGTCTTTGACCAATAACATTTCAGGATGTCACAATCCAGTATTTAAACATGTAGCTTGCCACCATGAGAAACTGTTATGATGACAAATTTTTGAACTGTGACAACACTGAAAAATTCATTAGACAAGAGGTAGCAGCTGGTTAAAAAGGAAAATGGCTATTTACACACTCACTAGGAGCAGTGAGAAACCAAATACCAACATTGCTAAAATAGATCATTTTTGTGAAGGGTGACAAGCTGTTGTGATCAATGACCTGGGAAGAAATTTCATTAGGTGTTTTGTTGCCTTCCAGGTTGTTGCCTTCCTGGTTTCATGGACTCTCAAACTAACGGAAAAAGGACTGAGACTCGCCACAGAGGCGCCCATGCTGCAAAACTCTCATCAGCCAGACACTAGCAGGAACCAAGGAGTGATTACTGCATATGTCAGATTCAAGTTCTTCTTCCAGAACTTAGTTTGGAATAGTTTCATTGTGATCTTTCAGTTAATGTAATCACTGAAAATATATTCTGCCTTGAATTTCATGATCGATATATTATTTCTGTAATGCACCAAAACCTTAGTGTGCTGTAAAGGCATATAACACTCCTACACAAAAGACAGTTGTGCTTATCACGGACATTATTCCATTCCAAGAATAAGAAAGCATCTAGAGTAGCCTTAGTAAGGAATAGGCCTGCAAAAAGAACATATTTTGGTCAGAGGGAACAAGGATTTTATTTTACTTGGCTCTTATTTTCACTGTTGCTATAAGGCCCTGTGTTACTAAATTTGGCTACCCTGGGAATACCAAACATGTAATAGTGAAAACATTTCAAACCAACACTCGTGTACTAAAAATATCTATTTTTTATTACTTTTAGTAAGTTCTTTTAAAAACTTCTTTTTTCAGCTTATTATCTTCTTCATCTTTCATCCTAAGGGGCTTCTCTGCCTCTTGTCTAAAAAGAGGACAATAATTCAATAATTTTCTTCTATGTAAATTGCAGCCGCTCAATTTTTAAGGCTGCATTTCTGGCCACATATTTAGGCAGCTAACTTCAGTCAAAATTGGTACAGGTGGCCCAAGACACCAAAATGGGCCCCTCTTCATTATAAATTCATTATAATCAATATAGGAAAAAAAATCTTGAAAATTAGTATGGAGTCTACAGAAAGTAAATAATTGATGATAGTTCTTAAATGTGTGCCCCATCAGGCTTGTCTTTTATTGTAAATAGAGCACATCACATTAGATCTCAATTGGAGAGTGACTACTGTAGTGCAATACATACCAAGGTCTTGATTATGAGCTTTCTCTTGTCCTTCCAGGTACAACAGGCTATAGCCAGTCCATAATTTTGGCATCCCCTGTGGACAGAGTGGTTCTCTGTCTGACTGACTGTGGAGAACAAGCAAGAATCCACTTTCAGATCTAACTTGAGGGCCTGGTGGTCCTGGGATACCGGTCTGGCCAGGTGGACCTGAGGCACAGGAGACAAGGTAAAACAATTTGCTGGTTAAGTGAACACTTAACTAGTCGGAGCTTTTATATTTTGCTCTATGTTAGTGCTCAGTAAGAGGTTCCTGACTGAATATAACACAGCTTTATGGGGGCAGTAAAAGTAACAGAAGACTCGCATTATCCTTGTTACTGGAGAGAACTGAAGTAAGTTGCTGCTGAATGCTCTGATGTTGCCTTTTATGGTCCTGCCTCTGTCCTGTGCTGCATGGATATCTGACCATGAAAAAATGAACTTTGGTGGGCAATAGTTTTACGGACTTGTTCCCTAGGATGACACTGCTGTCTGGACTTGTTTTTCTTGTTAATAATGTATATTGCGATTTTTCTGGAGCTGAGGCCTTTTTACTTGCTATCAATCCACAAGTGTTGCTACCAGTACTTGAGCTGCAGGGGAAAAAGGAATGGTCTGGTATTGAGGTCAGAGAGAGAACTGGGGTGAATGAGGGGAGCGGAAAGCAAACGTGGCCTCTCCATCGCCTCGTTCATCTCCGAGTCGCGTGACTGCGTTGCTGCGTGAACGTTACCGATAGGAACAAACTCCCTTCTCCCTGGTCTTGCGGGCTCCCCTCTTTTGCTGAACCTTGGTTTAGCTGTACACCTCAGCAGTGCCCTTGTCAGTCTAATCTACCTCTTTAGTCTGGGCTTGCTGAGAGCAGCAAATCTTGCTGACTGCACTGAAGGTGTTCTGAACTGGAGCCAACACTTCCCAAAAGCATCAGTAAGTTTATCTTTAAAATGAAGACATCGCAGCATATGATTATCTCATCCCACAGTGGTAAACAGAGGAAATGAAACATTCTCACCTTGTGGCCCAGTGTATCCTTGTTCTCCTGTACTCCCTTGGTCCCCTGGAGGCCCAGGTGGCCCAGGCAAGCCATCCTGACCTGGCAGGCCACATGACCCTTCTTCACCTTTTCTTCCTAGACAAATACAAAGGGCATGCTCTTCCTTCACAGGGCTGCGTTCAACATCTATCATTGTCACCATTTACATTGCCAGTTAGCAAAACTGAGACCACCAAGAAATTACATATAAGGAACAGAAAGGTCTAGAACTTTTTTTTTTCCTTCTGTAATTGGTTTATAGCTTATTCTCGTTCCTTGTGACTGCAGTGGTAGTTCAGAAGTGGAAGCAGGATAACAGAGCAATTATTTATTTCTGGAGACAGCTAAAAATACTTAGGAAGAAGAGACAAGATAAAAAATGGACAAGAGCCCTTTCCAATACCTTGTTTGAAAAACTAAAACAGCCATCCAAGCCTTTCAAAACCTAAGCTTACCTTGGGGTCCAGGGTGGCCTATCGGCCCTGGTAATCCTATAGAACCATCATCTCCTCTTTGCCCAGCTTCTCCAGGTGGCCCTGGGATTGTAGGGCATGAGTCATCTATTTCTCCTGGTTCACCGGGGTCACCTCAAATGTGTAATAGGAAACAAATCAGACAAAAAATTGTTAGTTGATTTTGGTATTCAAGTGGATATTTTAAAGTGAACTATTTAAAAACTTGAATGATCTGTCTCACTCATTTTAACTTCACTCTCAACCTTTAAGAACAGCATTTAACAGGATGGCATGTGTCCATAAGCGTGTGCTAGCTGACACTTGGTCTCCATTCTCTATTTGGTGTTAATGTGCCCCCAAATGATTACAATTAATCCTAGCTGTTCTGTCCCACAACACACACAAAAAATATTGTGGCCATTCTCTCTCTCTGTACTAAAAGTTATTGGTTATTTGCATTTTGGAACAAAAGCAATATCACACCAGTTTAATCACACTAAGAATTAAGTGTCAGTCTGTGTAGGATTCAGACTCTGGATAGGTTTCTGGCTAGATAGTGTCTGTTGTGATAAGTGAACAAAATGAACGGATAAATAACTTAAAACAGAAGTATTTTATATATCTCTGGACAAAATTATAAGTGATGTCTTAGCATGAGCCATCTTATGCAGCACCATTATGATAATGCTCTGCTTGGATATGCAAGCTGTTTATGTGAAAAATCTTAATAGAATGGCACTGTTGTGGCAATATCCTATTCCTAGCAGCCTGGCGAAGACCTTCTAATTAAATGGAGTGTATCCAAAAAGAAGGAAGCCCAGATAAAAACAGTAATCAATAAACATCAACTTACCTATGAAACCTGAAAGATTTGAAAAATGGAAAGCAGATTGCAGCCATTGTGGTTCAGGTAGGAGCAAGTTTCAGGCATGTAAATTAGAATAAAGAACAGAATGAGAACTAAAATCATGAGATGACATCAAATTAAAAAAAAAAGACATTTCAGAAACTTTTAGCAAGCTCATAGGAAAAACAGATTTAGAGTTTTTCCAAAGTTCCTTACATTTTCTATATTCAAGTAAATATTAGTAAGAATATTTTATATAAGAATACAAATATGAGTTGTAAATGAATGACAAACAACAACAGGTTCAGAAGTACCTGAGGGACCTGGAGGACCAGGTTTTCCTTGAAAACCTTGGTCCCCTGCCTGTCCTGTAGCACCAGGTGGACCATGTGGGCCAGGGATTCCCATAGGACCTGGAAAGCAAACAGCTCTGCAGTTACATGTGTTCACATTCCAAGGTGAACACACAAGACTGGCTGCTTGAGTAACACATACTTGGGATGCTCAACTCCCTTGTCTCAGAAAGAATGAGACAGAACTTTTCTCTTTTCTTCTCTCCCTACTCTTGAATTTAATTAATATTTAGAACTTTTCCTTTTGTAGAGAAGAGAAAGGACTTGTGTAGAAACATCTTCTCTACAATCTGTGGAAGAAGCATAGAATTTAGATCCCTGTTTCCAAACTAAAGAACCTGTCGAGAGCCAAACAGCTATTCACAGTGTGGACGTGTGACTCCGTGTTAGCTCATACCTGTCTGCAGCTTCCATGGTTTCTCAAAATCCATGCAGACAGAGTCCAAATGGCTTCAAATGTCAGGTTGGTGGGGGAGTCCTCCAACAAGATGTTGCAACCACTGTGTGTGAATCTGGCCCTTCTTCCCCAGCCCTACCTTCTCTGTAGATAAGAGAGCCCAACTATGAGGTGCCCCTTTCTACGTGGCTGCAGCAGCCTTGCCCACAGCAGTCCTTGTGCAGAGGGACCAGTTGCTGGCTCATACCCGCCGCTTAAAAGCTTCACATCATACCCTTTGGGCCTCTTCTTCCGTGGTTCCCTGGAAGACCTTTGGCTCCTTGTTGCCCTCGCTGTCCAGGAATCCCAGGTGCCCCTCGAAAACCAACATCACCTGGATCTCCTCGCACAAAGACCGTCTCTCCAGGAGGGCCAGGATTCCCTGGCTGACCTACAGTAAAACCATTTTATTCTGAAAAAATACACAAAGCATGAACATCTAAAATAGATGTGTTCCACTGATTTTTTTTCACTGGGATATGGTATGGAACTTGCATGTTTTTGGAAATACTAGCCTCAGTCTTTCTCCAAGGTGCTGGTAAAAAGGAAATCAGGGGAATAGCTTCTAAAATTACATAGATTCTGCACAAGGATGAAGCAGCAAGTCAATGTTACCTTTACTGAAAGACTGTTTCTTTGTGTTTATTAGTGTAGACCCTTCCAATCCCCATCCCCTATTTCCCAATCTTTTGACTAGGCAAGGAAAAGGTCAGATAATTACCTAAGGTAAAAAGGTCAGAAGAGCTGACAGCATTCAGTTTGGACCAGGGCCTAACATGTGGTCTATAGAGATGTTTACAGAAGTGTTAGGACTTTATCTCTGCTAGGGCTGCATTTAGATCAGAAAGCTTTTTCTGGGTTTACAACCAGCTGCAGGTAAAACCGTAGAAAGCAAACTGAAGAAAATGCCCACACAAGCTCTGGACAAGGCATTTTATCCTTCCTACTAAAAAGAGACAGCAGGAACCCTATTTGCATTATGGTTGTGGGGAAATGGATATATGCTATAACAATGGAACTTTCACGGAACCACCAAATAGGCAAGAAAACTGAATCTGGAGATCATTGTTTTATTCTTGCTCCAGTGACCTGTCCACTGTTTTCTTCTCTGTTCATTCATAGAGGTTTTGATTGGTTTCTTTGTTCCCTATGAACTTTTGGATGTTGTTCCACAGGCAACAACCCAGAGTCTCCTAACAGCACCATGGCTCACATTTGATATTTTTGATTCTTAATACCTCTGATGCCATCTACACCAGGTGGTCCTTGGTCACCTGGAGGACCAGGAGGAGCACTCACAGGAGACCTTCCCATAGGTCCAGCAGGTCCAACAGCTCCTCTTCTACCTATGGGATCACATAAGAAAAGTGCTGAGTTTTTGGTCTGTTTTTATTTTAGATTACAGAAATAAGTTATTAAATAAAATACTGAAATGTGAAGACATGGACATGGAGGTAACATATTCTGCCGGTTTTATACTGAATATGTTGGCGATTAAGCTAATTAAGACTTTTTAGAATTGAAAATACTTGTTACCTTCTGAAATTTTTAATTCTTTTCAATAAAATGTCACAGAATGGATCGTTACATATGGGTGTCATTACCAGAGATAATGCTCTATCCCTGAGTTCTAACAGTCACAGAAATTGTAAAAATGCAAGACAAGTAGAGACTCTAAGACTATCCTGCCTGCAGCAGGATAACTTTATGTCTATGAGAGAGTTCAGCTATTTTCTAAAAACTAATAGCAAACAACATAAAGTTACTAGCCCTAGGTGTACTGTTTTTCTGATGTGTAAAGCCTGATGTTTAATGGTTAATGTCTGTGGGTTTTTTTTTGTTGTTGTTGTTTTGTTTTGTTTTGTTTTGTTTTGCAAAGGCACTTAAGTCTTACTTTGCATGACGTGTAGAAAGAGCTACTAGTCACCATCCTGCATAATGCTTTTGAATACAGGAAGGTTATTACCGAGGGTTGTATGCTGACTTCTCTTTTCTACACGAAAGAAATCTAGTTTATTTGAGCTTGTTTTCAACTCTATTCTTCAACACAGTCCTTCAGTTCATGAAAACTTGTAACTGTTTGAATTGAGAAGACAACTGATTGTTTGTCTTGAATTTATTCACCGCACTGGAATTAATCTCAGGAAGTTTGCTTTGATGAACCCTGTGATTTTCTCATATTTGATGTTGCCTGATTCTTTTTCTCCTTACATCTTATACCACTTCTTCATATCTGTTTTTCAAACATTTGCTTCTTCCTACTTCTGTGCAATTCCTTCATCACCAAAGCTCTTAAATAATCATAACAATCTTCTAATATAGTTGCATCTTTCATTTACATCAGGGCAGATGATAGAGTTACTGTATTTCTGTGACTACACACTCTCCTGCACATTTTTTCTTCAGGAATTTCTCCCCAAGAGGTAATTTTTAGCAGTACCCTGAGTCTGTCCAAGTCCACTGCCTTTTATTCTCACTCCTAACTGGCCTGTAAACATAATATCTATATCTATCTATAACTGGTAAGAAAGTGGCATTGTATTGCACTGGAAATGGTTTTCTTAGCTGAGGGCATGTCCTGTCTATGTATTCATGTTCATGCTAGCTGGGGAAGAGCCTACTTCATTTCATAAGCTTCATTTCAGGTTTGCAGGGCATGATGAGGGAAAAAGCTTTTCTTACCTGGAAATCCTGGGAACCCCCTTTCTCCAGGGGGACCTGGAATAGAAATACCAGGCCATCCAGGTTCACCTCTGTCTCCTTTCGGCCCATGTTCTCCTGAGTATCCGGGGATCCCTGTTTCACTTTGACCTTTATAGAAAAACCGTCATGTACATATAGTCTATAGCACGTACAATTACAGATGTGCAGAATAGAAACAGCAGCTGCAGATGTTTTTCCTTAGCAAGGGCTGCCTAGCACTACTTTTCTGGTTCTCACTTGGAAGCTGGATACAGCTTTGTTGAATCTGGCCCAAACATTCACCTCTTTCCTTCAGGGGTTTATTGCTGGATACAGCTTTGTTGAATCTGGCCCTTATTCATTCACCTCTTTCCTTCAGGGGTTATTTTATATGGTATTATTATCTTGTAATATGAAATGTAAACTGATTCAGGGTCTTAAATCTAATTTTTTATCAGCATAAATTTTTAATCTCTAGATAGATGGTGAGCACTGATTTTAATACTGCTTCAAAAGTTCTTTTTGAAAGTTGCAAATAGACTAGCATGAGTGAAATCCAGGTTCCTCTGAAGTCTGTGGCACAATTCCCATTGACTTTAATGGGGCTGGGATTTTGTAAGTCTCCTGTTAATTTGTTAGTTTATCTCTTACATATAAAAAAAATGGAGACTTGACTTTACTTTGAATCATATGCACTATGTTCATTGTAAAAACAGCTCTGAAAGTTTCTAACAAACCTACGTGAGTAATGGAAGTTTTAAAGTTTTTTCCACAACTAACTGCAGGTGTGTTACGAGATTATTAGCTTTAGGTTCTGTTTGAAAGTTTATCCTGTCTTAATGTTCTCTTCTGAGCAAGGCAAAAATTAAAATAACATGCATCATTCCTCAAACATTCAGTCATTCAAGACATTTTCTGCTCCACATGACTATTTTCATTCTTTACCTGGAGATCCTGGGGAACCCTTTTGACCTTTTAGTCCATCCAAGCCATCTAGTCCGGGCAGTCCAGGAAGACCTGAGAGGTATTAAAGGCCACAAAATGAATGTTACAAAAATCCTTTAAACAGCCAAAATTAAAAATCATGCCGTTTTTGCTGACAGCATTCTGGATCTAGACAGAATAGTTGCTGAATTTGATTCATATTGGCAAGAGAAGAGGAGACCACACTGTAATTGAGTGCAGTCCTCTTGGACAGGGAAGTGTGAAGGAAATCTGAAAATAGCAGCCATAATATCCTTTCACATCAAAGCAATCAGAAAACATGCGCTTTAATCCTTTAGGTATTTCTGTACTGCAGCTAACAGCAAGAAGCCCTCACTCTGCATCGGCCCTGGAGACCGCGGCTGGACGCACGAGCTGCTCCCTGCCCGCAGCTGCTCCCACGGGAGCCGCGCTGGCCCCCAGCGGCCGCCTCGGCGGGCTGGGACGATGGGGCTTCCGCACAGCCGCTCTTCTAGCTTGTGCGGTTTGCACACCCGTGTGGCTTTGATTTTTTTTCTCCTGTCCTTGCAGATTTAACAAAAGGGACAGGGGATGCAAAACACCAGTATCCTGCAACAATTCTTAACACCTAACAGCACAAAGTTTTTGCAGGCAACAAACTTACACACCTGAAATGGAGACCAGTGCTAAAGTAGGATAGTATACAATAGCTTTGTCACTAGGGATATATTTGTTCTTATCAGCTGTGCTTTTTGGAAAATTACTGAAGTACAACAAATAAAAACATGGCTGCAATTTCTACCTCTCCCACTCCTTAAAAAAAAAAAAGAAAAAAAAGAGTTGAACTAACCTGAAATCGTGCTCATTTTTTTTTAGTAGAGCCAAATATTTCCATGTCATTAGCATTTTATAGCTTCCTAAATTGTAGATGAAGTATGAAACAGCCAAAAGACGTACACTTATAAAATACAAACTGCAGGCTTTTCTTACAGTGCCTTGCTGTCTCCATTTTGAACAATAAAGAAGTACAAATAAATGTACGTTCCTTTTAAGTAAAATTCAAAGTTTATTGATATTATATTGAAAATAGTACCTATATTCTGGCACTTCTTTGGTTAGAGAAAGGTAGGTGTTATTTTGTGCAAATGCCAATGAGAATCAGTAACTTGTAACACACATTAAAAACACTCTAGAAAAAAAGACAAAAAGTCAGAATTTTTTCAGTGATCACTATGTTATTGTTTGGGGAGATATAAATTAATTACATCACAATGCTCCTACTTATACTTCCTAACTTAATGCTGCTTAATACTGAAACTTGTTTAAAGTTCTTGTCATGTAGTTTGCTTTCATATAAGATGTTGGTGTTTAGAACTGGAGGGGAGGTAGAATCATAGAATCATAGAATGCTTAGGGTTGGAAGGGACCTCTAGAGATCATCTAGTCCAACCCCCCTGCACACGCAGGGTCACCTAGAGCACGTGGCACAGGACTGCATCCAAGCGAGTTTTGAAGATCTCCGGAGAGGGAGACTCCACAACCTCTCTGGTCAGCCTGTTCCAGTGCTCTGTCACCCTCACTGTTAAGAAATTTTTCCTTAAGTTCCTGTGGAACTTTTGGTGCTTCAGTTTCCGGCCATTTCCTCTAGTCCTATCAGTGGCCACCAGTGAAAAGAGACCATCCCCGTCCTCTGCACTGCCTCCCTTGAGGTACTTATAGACACTGATTAGATCCCCTCTCCGCCTTCTCTTCTCCAGGCTGAACAGGCCCAGCTCCCTCAGCCTCTCCTTGTAGGGCAGATGTTCCAGGCCCCTGATCATCCTTGTGGCCCTGCGATAGGTAAAACCCTATCAGTTGGGCACTGAGGAAACAGGACTAATTCTGGGGTGTCTTTCTCGAGCTAAGATTGTAACTGCTACTGGTAGGAATAGATTTGACAGAACTGATGGGAGACTTGGCGACAGTGAGAGATTTCAGACAGAAGAGTAGACTTAAGACGCCTCTTGCTCTGAAGAGAAAAAAAACATAGTGGATGCTGATGTTCAAGATACTCAACACTACTGTCGGTGTCCATTCCTGTCCTTTCACCACTGCTGCTTTCCTCTGCCAATTTCCTTCTGCTACCACCTAGGCCTTCCAGCCTAGTTCTTCTGTGCCTTTTTTCCTGTCTCTGTTTCTCTGTCTAGCCTTTTCCTGGCAGAGGAGATATCTGTGCCAGTTTCTGTGCTTGATCCCAACATGTTCTGCATGATAAAAATCTGCTGTATATCCAGCACAGGAATCATGTTAGAGTTAAGCATATATGAATATATATATTTTTTTTTCTTTTAATTTATAAGCAAGTCACATCTGGTAGGGACAAACTGCTGCAAACACCAGCAACAGCAAATGTCCTTCATCAAATAATTCACCAGGCAAATATGAAAGTCAAAGATGCAGTCATCTGAGAAAGGAAAAATAAAAGGTTACTAAGGTTCTTTAATAGTCACAGAAAATAATGTCCCAATGGTTTGTTCTCAGAAACTGTGGGACTATTTTAGTTAACAAAAGCAAAGTAGTAGAGACTTGCCTGGAAAAATTTCAATGCTGAAAATTGTTTGAGAACCTGCAAGACCTTGTTAATATACTCTACTATGTAAGGAATCCTGCTTGTAATATGCAAAGCTAATAATCCACCCGGTAATATCTGTTGTGCCCCTGATTCATTGCTCTTTACTTTTTCATGACATTTGTTCCAACTTGCAATCCTACTTTCTATAGACTGCTTGTGCTTTGGGGATGTTCCCTTTTTCAAGTTTATGTAATATTTGCATGCCACTTCGAGATATTTAACAATAGTATTTTTAAAATTATTATGGGCTCTAATGATTTTTGGCACTCAGTTCACCATTTAAAACTTTTTGGATGTTTAGCATATTTGGTCAAGACTGATGGCCTGGTTTACTCGCTTTCCAAGGAAATTCTGTCACATTTGCCAACAATTCATTATAACATCAACACTTGTAATTCTAGATTTTGGACTGTTAAGAGTTTCATACGTCTAGGTACAGCTGAATTGGCTGACCTATATGTGAACCACTGTCTCTGTTTTACAGACAAACTCATCTTTTGCTCATGCAAGTAATTCTGCTGATCTTACTATTTGCTTCATCAAGAATTATTCACACAAGTAAGGCTTGTCAGTCTGAGCCCTTAAGTAGTAAAATTATCTCTGTAATAAAAAAAAGTGATCTTTTATAGATGCTATTGAAGTATATTTCTTATTCTAAAAATTCTTCAGGTGTGAGACATGTAATGTATATGAAAAGCAATTAGACTAATAAGATTGTGTCCTTAGCAATACACAACTAGTTAACCATTTCATTTCTAATGCTACTTTTTTATTAAAAATAGCACAAGATCCATATTCTACAGTGAACTGGAATACTAATTCCACTTAGATCCACTAGTTGTTATCATTGGGTAAAATTTCAAAGGTACTATGCCTTTTTTTCAACTATCCTGGCAATTAAAGGGTCAAAGCTTTAATGGGCAACTTGGTTTCTTATAAATTTCCATCTGAAACTGAAATTTCCTTTCTCCAGAATACATGTTAATTTATTAGGTTTCCTCTGCAGGACTTGGGATAATTTCTGTATAATGTAGGAGGTAAGTGTCTGACTGCTCATAACAAGATGGAAAGGATCCATCTATTACTAAAAAGTTTTCTGGAATGCAATGCTTTGCTTTCTTCTTCAAACTTAGATATTGTTTTCAGTGCAGAAGCCAATATTGTTTGAGACAATGAAAAGTTGTCTTTTGGATTATGCACCAGCAAGGAATCTGTATGACAATTTAAACCAGTACCCCAGTATTTTTCTACAAGCAGTCATAAATGGTTTCCATGTTTAATTCAGTTTTCTAGTAGCCTATTAGAAACCTTCCCTTAGGCTGAAATTGAGAATCTCCTGTCCTCTGTAACCATTGGTCATAGACCCAAGTGTTACACTACTGTGATATCTTTATATGGGTCATTACTATTACTCTTTTTACCCAGGAACAGGTTATGAGGCAACTATCAGGGTATTTATAAAATGTAACTTTTAATTTCATTATTAACGTTTTCTATACTTATGAGGATATAGTCTTCTTCAACAGAAACAACTGTGTAGATCAACCACTGTTCAATCTAAATATAACAACCACTGGGGAAATGTAATTTTGTTTCTACATACAATCCAGTGAGTTTTTGTTTGTTTTGTTTGTTTGTTTGTTTTTGCAAGACAAGGTTATTTTTATGATCACAACTTGATAAAACGGGTTTAGAAGTTTCCAGTGTTTGAAGACACTATGTTTTTTCATCATTAAAACAATCCAAAGCAGCCTGCTCTTTTCGTAGAGTAACAGTGGCACTCCACGGTCAAAAGGTAAAACAGCATAATTGAAATGAAAGTGAAAAAAACTGAATTATTGGAGAGAAAAAAAAAAGACGATTGCTTTGCTTTACTTCTGCCATCAGTATGGTTCTACTTTCCTTCTTACTCACTTTAGATTGTAGCATAATTTGGGCAGGGGCATTTGTATTACTTGAGTGGGATTTTCAAAGATGCTAGGAACCATCTTAACTCTTTTTTTATGTGTGTGTGTATATGGAATATGGAATCAAAATCATGCTTTTGTTAGGCATGTTTGAAGGCGCTTTTCTATTTTCAGTGCTAAAAGGACAGTAACATCTGATGCTGTTATTCCACTCTGCTGCTTACCCTTTCTGCCTTGAGAACCAGCAAATCCTTGCAATCCTGGAGGTCCTAAAAATCCATGTTTCCCCCTTTCTCCAGGTTCTCCTGGCAATCCCTGAGGGCCCATAGCACCTGAGGAGGAAAAAAAAATTAAAAGGTCTGAAGAACTGACTGACTTTGCTCCTCTGAGAGACTTGGAACAGATTCTATGTGGATACTATCTGTGGATACTAAAGTAGTCTCCTCCATAGAGGTGCATCCTCCACTGCATTGGCCTGTTCCATCTCTTTTGAACTATTACATGACAATATTGTTTTAAACTTTGGCATTACCTGGAAATCCAGGTATTCCTGGGTATCCAGGTTGCCCCTTGGATCCTGGTCTTCCAGGTTGCCCTTGGATACCTGATGAACCTTTCTCTCCTGGGAATCCACAGAGTCCTTAAAGAGAGAAAAAAAAAAGGTAGTTTCTCATTTAATAAGTTACCCATTCCTCATTGCATATTTAGAAATATAAAGGTCTGGTAAGGTTTTATTTGAATAGAAAAAGAATTCTATTTTCAATACTTTAGATGCCTGCATGTGTTTGTTAGCACTGCATCTCCTGTTCTCTCTGCTGGTATCTCTAAAGCAAGAGTATAAATGACTAACAAGATACAGGCAAGCCAGCTCTTCTCCTAGTAGCTCAGGGTATGTTCACAGGTGTATTAAACTATAGCTGACTATATCTTCTACGCTCACACTAGCAATATTGTGATACCTCTCCAACCTGTTGGTTTGTAACTATAGAAAAGACAGCTCAATACTTACAGAAAGCAGAGCTTCTTCCCAATCCCTCCCACATGCCAACAAAGCTTGTAGAAATTTTCTTATGTCCAATTCTCTTAATAGTACAGAGGTACCTGGTAATCCTGGATCTCCTGGAGGCCCTTTTTGACCACATGTACCAAGCAGAACAGTTGGATCACCTTTCTCACCTGTTAAGGTAGGATGAGTTTCATTTGATATAAATATTCTTTTCATCTACAACACTCAAACTGGAGAATTTTGTAGGACTGAAAAACTTCCTCACAAATATTCACAGCTAGAAGACAATTCTATAAAATGGACTGTGAGAATAGAGAATGCAAAGTGCTTTAGCACATGGAAATTATCTGCCAGTTCAGGCTGTCTTGAAGTACTAACTCAATTATTTGTATTTAGATTCCTGCCAGTATCAATGCACATTTTCCATAGTAACAACACACAAAGAACCTCAACAATTATGGTAACTTTTCTAGTATTGGCAGCATATACTGAATATGCTGAAAGATGTTACATACATTCCCTGTAGCACTTTAATAAAACATAGAACTCCTACAGAGGTAGGTTGTAAGAATATGCAAAATCAGTACAGCATGAGTCAACTTAGTATAGAGCTTTTAAGGGACATCTGGGGCTTTAAGCCAGGTAACCTCCTTCTGGCTGTGCTGAAATTCCTGTTTATCAGACTCAATAATTCCAAGGGATTTTGCTTTCTGTTTTCTGTACAGATGTCTGACCTTTCCTGCCTACTTGTGCTGTCTCAAGCTTTTTTTTGTCTGATGTTACTGTGAAGGTAAGAGGAAATAACTAAGTCCAAGTATCGCTAGAGATCATCTACTCTGCCAATCTCCATGTTTTTTAGTTATTTTCTGCTTGCTTTAAGGATATTTTTTCAGTAAGTTTGTTTTAAATTCATTTGATAAAGTTTACCTTATATTGAGTATTGTTCTTTAGTTTTTTTTTCCAATGTAGCAATACATTGCGTAGCTGAGAATGTTGCATATTTTTGAGGAAAGAGAAAATGTAACTGTGAAAGAATTTTTCCAGTCTCTTTTCTTTTTTCTAGATGTTGATTTAATTTCATTATTTATTAAGAATAAAATCGTGCTCCAAGGAAATTTGGGATAATATGGGTGAAGTATTTTATATTTTGTTTAAACATCAAATTTTAAAATCTAAATATTAGACAACAAATTCTCAGAGTGATCTCAACCCATGCAAAAATCATGTAAGTAAAAACTCAATTTTTCAGTTGAATAGTATTGGATGCATAGATAATACAAATTCTGCCCTTTTTTTTAATGTTACAGAATTTCCAAGTACTTAAATACCGCAGCCTACAACACTGGAAAATAAGGGATATAAAAATAATTATAAATCATTATGTACTGTTTTTAAAACTTTATGTCTGTAAAATGCCATAAATAATGAAATTTTCCTTCACTTGGTCTGACAGATTTAAAAGATATATTACAAATAGGTTCTTTTTTGGTTAAATTTTAAAATTCCATTAAATTTGACAAAAATTCTTCTAAACTATTTTAAGATGTGATATTTTTAAGTGCAAATATTGCCTTTGGGTACATCAGATTTTTTAAAATGATATTCCTATCTGATTTATGTTCACTTCTGTCCCATTTTCTCTTGTATAGTAAGTTCCCACCATGTATCAAAATATACACATTCTAATAATACTGCTGTCTTGCAAAAGCACATCTATATTATTACCTTTAGGTCCTTTTGGGCCAGTCAATCCTGGTTTTCCAGGGATTCCTGGTAAGCCAACATCACCCTGATTTATTTAAATACAAAATATAATGTTTCATGTATGATATATAACATGTAATAGGAATTATCTATAAGAGCATTTGATTCTCTTACAGTGATAAAAAAAGATTAGCAATCAGTAAGACTATATCTTAAACTCGGCAGAAAAGCATGCCATCTTTGTTACTGGTCCAACATTGATCATTAATGCTTCCAAGAGCCTCTAGATTATAATTTCTAATCATTTTTTATTTGTGTTTTTATAGTTTTTGCTAATATTTGGCTTGAATATTTTAAATTCCTTCCAATGGGCTTGAATGATTTAAAAGCTACTATGAAAATGTACCAAATGTTATTATATTTTATGCAAATATTACTATATTACAAATGTTAACCAGCCTGCATCCCATGTGATGTATGTTTGCTTTAGTATATTTGTTTTTCAGCAGCAGTGCCTACCTTTGTTGTGTTGAGTACAGCCTGTCCATATGGGCACAGAAGCCCCCCAGCCAGTGTCTCAGCTGCTCTCTCTGAGACATGAAGAAGCAGCCATACAAACTTCAGCCTGGGGCTGCTGCTGTCTCATGATAGCACCAGTAAGTAACCCGGCAATCTTTTCTTTAGAATCATGTTAATTTTCCTAAATAGTGAAATGTTCCACCAAGTGGCAATATAGTAAGATCACAACGGGCATCTAGGAGAGAGGCAAGAGGCCATTCATTGACATTGCCTACAATTCCTTTGCTAAAAGAATTCCAGGCATTGGAGTGTTGCATTGAGGAACTGACTTTTCATATGATGAGTCTGAGGCTCTTTTCTCAGCAGAACAGTCTAAAGAGGAAGTGCAATATAAGTACCCTGTACCATATTTTTTGGAGTCAGGAGAGATGTAGCTGCAAAATCTACGTTATCTTTTACTGCCACTTTCAATTTACCTGGTCACCTGGTTGTCCTTGAAAGCCCATAATTCCTTTAAAGCCCTTTGGTCCTGGAAAACCTTGTGATCCTGGAAACCCCATCAGTCCAGTGTCACCATGGTCACCTGGCAGTCCTGGGAGACCATTTTTCCCTGGAAATCCTGGGATGCCTCTGGAACCGACATTGCCTTTTTCACCTGAAGTTAATTACAGAACAAGATGACCAGTTTACTCAAGCTGTGATTTGACGCTGATTTGGAGCCTGGCTGTGCATTCACACTTTAATTGCCTTAGTAACTGCTCGAAGAAACTAGCCTGCACTTATAGCTTGAGAATCTACAAATGCAAAGGGGTAGCTAGATGTTCGTGTGAGGCCAAACCGATGAAAACACCAGCCGTTTTTACTGAATCGAAGGGACGTGTGCCCTGTGTACAGCTTCATTTTATGGTCTTACCTCTTCCACCTCTAAGTCCATTCTCTCCAGGAAAACCTGGTTCCCCCTTTTGTCCCTTCTCAAGTCGAATGGTAATGCAGCCACTGTCTCCTGGTGGTCCTCTTTCACCTTTGAACCAAACATGGAACGTAAGTAAATCCTTGATGGCTAAGATGTCTTGAAAAGTAATTTTAGTTCAGGCTTTCCTCACAGAGAAAGTCTTCAGCAGATACCAGTTGTTTCAGCAGGGTCACTGCTGTCACCACTTTTTTCTTCTCTTGCTTTTTATTTAAATCAGTAGTAACTGAGCCCATGCTACACCAGAATCATTCCCTACCTGCCTAGACAGAGGGCAATTGTACTGTCCATTGTGCAGTCTGTGATTTTGAATGACTACACCCTCAAAATGACTATTCTCCTCTCCATATTAATATTTAAATAAGTTATTTTCTGTACACTTTACACAGAGTGAACAACACAGGTAATATAGAAAATATGAAAATCTTAAGTTTCAGATGTGTACAGGACAAAATCCAAGGTTTCTTTGAACTGGTTTGATCTACAGTAGTAAATGCATCTATTGACCTGAGTGGAATTAATTTTTCTTAGTGAATTTTCATTACATAATTGAAAGTGAGAGAACTGTATTTGGTATATCTGGAGATGGAAGAGAATATACTGTTTTAACAAGCAGAAAATGTAAATATATACCAACCACAGTTGTAATGAAACTACAGAGTGAAGATGGGTTTTACATACCTTTTATTCCCAAATCCCCACATTCTCCACCAGGTCCAGGTAGACCCATTTCTCCTTCTTCCCCTTTTAAACCAGGGATTCCCATTGGCCCTTGTATTCCTGGGAGTCCTGGGAATCCTTGAGGTCCTCGAATCCCTTTGCTTCCTGGTAATATTAAATCATTTGTTTACATATTCAGTCTGTTATGGTGTTGCTGTCATACTCTAAGAATGAGTATAAAGCAAAAAGTAGGGTGTTTAGAAAGACTCCTTAGGAAATCAGGAAAACTACTCAATAATTAGAACATTGCTTCTCATCAAATCCAAACTCATCTAGAAATCCAGTGTGTCTTGAAACAAACCTCCCTTCCATCCCCTCCTTCTCACACCCCACAGTTGTTAAAGCAGCTATTCCCAACACATGCCTTAAATACAACACATAATCTAAGTCACTATCTGATTTTGCTTGTGGCTACTAGAAATCATGACTCGATTATCCAGATTGACAGAGAAAATAGGGCCTTGCTGCAGAAGCTCAGGACTTTTGCTCACAAGTCAGTGTTGATTTGGGAATAAGGTTGCACCTAAATGTAATGGAAAGGGGCACCTAAACCAGCCAACCACAAGGAAATCTCTCACTTATATGCAGAGGTCATGTCCTCCAATTCTTATCAGCACTATCTTTCCACAAAAAAAATGGAGTGGAGTGCTCAAAATATTTTAATACTGCTTTCTACTAACATGGGGCATGAAATGGTTCTGGTGACTTTGAACAATTGCCCTGAAATTGTTGATACAAATTGTTGATACAACTGCTCTGAATTGTTGATACAAAACACCTAAATTGACATATCACCTTCCCCTATTCTCATTTTCCTGGAAAATGTCCTTCCTTTGGAATTTAAAATCTCATACAATTCTCAATGGGATCTAGCCTTAGTTCAAGTCAAAAAAACCTTCTAACTGTATCCCTGCTGACTAGGTTAGTCCAGCCCTAGTGCGCATCAAACTTTGATTTTTTTTTTTCCTGTCCATGGTAAATGTAGTTTTGCACTAGAACTCATGGAACTGCCCAGTTTAAACGCCGCTTTCATGCTTCAGTAGCTCTTAACCCAGTGTAGGCAGGGATCTGCTGCACAATTTCTCACATTCTGGAGAATTATATGTAATATGAAGCTACTTCTCCCTTTACTGATCAGCGTGCATAGCATGCAGTCAAACACTGCCTTAGTAAAGCAGATCCTCTAAATATAGTAACAGGAATATTGTTTTTTTAACATATCACAATAACAACCTAATTAAATAGAAAATAGTGCATGGAAATATGACAGCAAGATCTTACAAAACAAGTAAAACTTCAGGATACCCCAGCTGTTCCTTAATCTTCAAATTCCTTTCATTCCTATATTTTACTATAAGAGGAAGAATAAAGGACGCTGTTGTTAGGGTCTTCTCCTTCTGCAGATATTGTAGAAGCTGGAAAGAAAAATAGGGTGCAAACTATTTCTTAGCTTTAATGGTAGCAGAAAGATCTCCCCCTACAAGAGTGGTTACAGTCATGATGGCTTTGCATGATGCTCAACGTACCTGTTTGGCCTGGGAAACCAGGTGCTCCCCTATCCCCAGGAGATCCTGGAACTCCGCGGGAGCCTGGAGGTCCTGGGGGCCCCGGGGAGCCAGGAGAGCCTTTGAGACCTTTCAGGCCAGGTGGTCCTACAAGGCCTCTGTCTCCTCTCTGACCTTTAAAGCCTTGTAATCCTGAGAAGAGGAGAAAAAAAATGCTCTACGTATATAAGTTGTACATAAATGCAGGAAAAAAGGCTCAGTAATTGTGTTTAAAAAGTAGAAAGTGGTAGATTTTGGTGTGAACTTGAAAATCATCAGTTATGGCAAAATGACTTGAAAGCTTTGCCACCATCCTGGAAAGGAATCTTGGTTGTGTCTAGATTTTTATCTGGAATATTTTGTTTTCTATAATGAGTGAAATATCAGTAGAAGCTTCCTATGAAAAATCCTAACTTCTAATTTAAAAGTAATCCTAACTTTTAATTCAAAAGTAGTTTTAATATACACTTTTTTTCCAGCTTTCCTTAAATCACACTTAAGATAAAGAATAAGGAAGATAAAATTCAGGAACTAAGTTACTCAGGACAACAATATAAGAGACAATTTGCTCTTCTTATTATTCCGCAGCAAACACATTGTGATTTGGCTGGTTAAGGAACAGCATTTAGGGAAAAGGTAAGTTGGACAAAATCTGAGAAGCACATTATATATTCTCTGAGTAAAAGGGAGCTTCCTATTAAGGAACAATCCCTGTCTATACCAACTACAGAATTTTTCATGCTAGTCAAAAAAAAAAAACAACCAAAAAGAGGGTAAGTTTGTTAGAGAAGATATAAAGATATACAAAGCTCAGTGTAAGGCAACCTAAAGATGTTGTCTACCTTGAGCGCCTGGTTGGCCTAAGACACCTCTGAGTCCTGGTGGCCCTGGCAAGCCCCTGTCACATGGGAGACCAGGGAAGCCTGGACAGCCTGGTACTCCTATACCACCTTCTGGGCCTCTAAAACCTTTGGCTCCTGGAAATCCTGGAGTGCCAGGCTGGCCTGGAAACAAAAAACATTGTAAAAAGTTTTCCTTCTATTATTTACCATCCCTCAGAATTCCTAATTGTAATTCAGAAGTGACATATTTGATTATTGGAATATTTTACTTAGCCTCTAGTTTTTGTACAAATTGCAAAAACTGATGCTTTTCTGTAATTTAGAATTAGCTGTTGTGGAGAATTAGCTGTTGCTCTAATAGAACAAATACCAATTCAGCTCTCACCTAGAGGTGAGGGGGGTTTATGGCCCGAGACACGAGCTGTTTCTGATGTGTGGGAGAACAGAATGGAAGGAGCTCACAGGTATGGACCAGCTGCAGAGAGCTCACAGGTATGGACCAGCTGCAGAGAGATGGATTCAGTTCTACAAGGGTTCTCTGCACAGAAGGGCATGTGTGTGTTGACATAAAAAGGAAACAGGAATATCTGCTATGAACCAGAAAGGAAGTCGTGCTGTGGAGACGCAGATGGGGGTAATACTGTGTAACACTGGGCAAACAAATCATCTGTCTTCCTCCTGTTGCCTTTTTTTTTTTTTTTCCGTCTTTTCAGAGTAGGCAATTTGTGAATATATATGTGGAGCAGAGCACAAGATCCTAATCACAGATGGCCACCTAAGAGTCAAATAACAACAGTAACAGCAGGAAGCTGCAGCGCTACTCCAGGGACTGGGGAGAGGCATTCTTGTTCTGCAGTGCAGATCTTCTACAGTGGCTGCTCAGCTGTAAGAATACAAATGTAAAAATATGGCCTATTTTCACAGTCAGCATTATGGATCCATGCAAGGGTAAGCCACATCAGAACCAGCACTGGCCTTGCTAACTTTCTTCTCCGAGCATATTAAA